GCTGTTTCGGCTGAATTTATTAAAGAATATAGAAAACTATATGATTTGATTTATTAAAATATATTAAAATATATTAGGAGTAAATAACCAGAGTTAGTAAACTAACATCAGAGACATTTATGTTCTCGTTGCGGAACTCGAGCTTCGAGTCTGAAATCATAGATGGCTCCGATGTCAGTTTACTAACTCTGGTTATGTGCTCTGTATATATTTTAATAAATCAAATCGGCAATGGGAAATTCACTAATTACTCAATATTTGTGATTAATTTATGAACTTTTATAATTGCATCGTATAGGCAGATCCTTCAGGAACTTTCCAATATATTTTTCGATAGAAATTTATCCCTAATTAATTAATTATTAATAATTATTCTACGCAATGTTTCAATTATTGTCAAAAATTGTCGACGACGCCATTGGTTTTTCAATAATTACTATCCTCTACGCAATTAATTTATGAAACTTTATGCACTCATTAGAAAGACAATATTCTTGCGCATTTTCTCATATCACTTTTGATCACATTTTACTTCACGTTTAGTTCAGAATTAAATATTTCAATGAGCCATCATGCCGGTCGTTCTTACGAAATCACATACGCCATCAAATAATTATTAATCGGAAATTAATTGGTATGAAATTATGCACGAAAGTAGCATATGAATGTTGCTTAGAGTTTTAGCTTTCCGATGCAACTATAAAAGTTCATGAATTAATTACAGAATCTTGGTAATTTGTGTTTTTTCAGTGCCGGAATCTACTCCATTTTTAACCGCTTTCTGTCCTTGTCTATCACGTGATCAGCTCTTTGACGATCTCCTTGCTTATTCTGTATTCCTATTACATTCCTGAACTTTGAGTTCAAAATCATGGATGGCATTGTCTGCAGTCAGTAAATTTTTATTCATTTTATTATAGGCAACGTAATACTTGGACTCAAATTTTTAGCTAATGTCTGTACGCACGTGTGGTGCCATCTCGCTACGAATTGCTCAACTATGAGTGCATTTCACCAGCGTACAATATATAAAAATAAAATTCTTAAAAATTCTTTTCACAAGCATCGAAACATGAACAACATGTATCGAAAATTAATTTTTATTTGATGAATTACAATAAAAATTATTTATACTTTAAAAAGTAATTGTAAAGGAATTTTACTATTAGTTTGTCATTTATTTAATATTATTTAACATTCCGATTTTGTATTCAGGAAGGTAAGCTCTACGAGAGTTACCCATTGGATATTATAGATTTGAGAAAAAGTAAAAATTTGTTAGACAGTGCAATTTGTATTTCATTTACCTCTGTATCTTTTGTAGTTGTGCGTAATGTAGCATGATTTCGCGCGCATTTTTTTATTTGATATTGAAAATATATTACCGACTGCACGTGCGTAAATTTTTATGTAAGTATTCAAGCACATAAGTATGTAATTACGTTCGAATTGCAGCGCGTTTTCGCGAGTGAGTCCTGTAGAAATTTCAAGAAAAGAAGCAAAATCTTAATCAATATGAACGAAAAACATTACTTCAATATTAGAATAAAGTGAATGTCCAATGTGTTTTCAATTCTAACTTGCACGATTATGACGAAACGATCTACGAACAATGAGTCATATGCTTTATAATTACACCGATTTTCTATGTTGTAGAACAAATTTTCATTTTCGACATTAGCATTTCGTAATGAGTATATTACATACATACTCTAAATAACTTACAACAATGAATTCATATGTAATAAAACATTTATAATTTCATACTTTAATTCCAATTACCACTACTGTTAATGTCATGATCTTATTCTAGACTGCGTCGGTAACGATGGAAATGACACTAGAAAGGTAATATGTCTCTACGCGTGGAACAAGAAAGAGTGACAAGATTTTCTTATACCTCGTCTATAATACAGTATTGTTACCAATAGGAAATGTTTAAAACGATCTACACAGTTGATACATGATAATAAAGGAACTTACGCATTTACATTATACACATTATATAGTATGTATTGTAGAACGTATTTACAACGATATATTTACATTGTCATTACAAAAGTTGTGTTAATGATACCACAGACTATATATTCATCGATTGATTTGATCCCATTCAAACGCTTCATTCACTCACCCATAAGCTAAAATAGACTATACTTCATTCTCATTCACACGGTTAAACGCTCGTTAAACGCCTTTAAACAACACTGACACATATCTCGAGCAGCAGCAGCAGCACATTCGAGTTTCGCGTCGGAATAATTTAAACTTTTAATCTCACGCGTCAATTAAGTATGACTATACGAACTCTCGTACATTCCTTACGAGCTTGTAAAAAATAGAAATCTATACAAAAAATAAGGGTGTGAGGAAAATAGAAGGAAAAGAAAACACTGTATGACTATCGTTCGATTAATTAATTAGTTGGCGTGTTCTCGTCCTATTGCTCCGATTGAGAAAAAGATATGCGCTCATGATATTTCGACAAACTGATTCCTTTTTTCGCATGGTAATCACGACACTACGAAAACCTACTGTAGAACTTTCCACTTTCTGTGTACACGTACATAAATAAATTTACACTTCATATACGTGTACATAGAAAGTTACACGAGCGTGTATGTACAGGGTGGTTCGGTAACTGTCGCCATCTTAACCCTCTATAACGTCACATGACCTGAGCGCTACGTATCCACATACTTAAGTATTTTTAACTGTTACTTTATTCGCTTATTACTAGATTACTGTATTTTATTAACATATTATTAGACTGGAACCAAATTTAAATTTGTTTACAACAATTATTAGTTCCAATATTTCAAATTAACATAATAAACTGTAATTATTAGTGATCTTTTTCTATCATACTCATAAAACATTTTGGTTATAGAGGGTTAACATCCCTCAAAGAAAGAAGCTAGAAGAAAGTTTAATTTACAATAATTATATAACAAAAGAGGTTTTAATTTAACTAACACGTTATTTATAATTACGTTAGTCAAATGTCATTTTAAATCCTTTTATCCATGTTCATTCAAATTCCACGAATAATCAAAGATATTCAGCTCGATGAAAATATCTGAACCGCAATAACTAATCAAATAATAAATAACGAAGGTAAATCCTCGGTACTAGAAAGTTACCAAAGAGTTACCATAATATCGTATGACGATATTATGTACATTTGTACCATACGATGTTCGCTACATAAATTCTTCTCCACCCTCCGTAATTTCAAAAACATATTTAGGTGACAATTACCCCACTACTCTGTACAATGTTTCACACGATAAGTGATATTTCGTAAATGCGAGATTTCCTGATGAAAATTAAGTCGATTCTTAATGCTTCAACGCGGTCGTTGGTCGACCATCAACTTAATCAACGAACCTAACATGAATCCCAAGAATCAATCCGCTTTTACGCCAACAATCTTTCACTTGCTGGGTTCGCATTATCTTATGAAACAGCCTGTACACGTACGAATCTGCTACGAGTATTACACACGGTGCTTTTATACGCTCGATCAGACGCATTACTTGCATACATAAATAAGTCTAATTACAAGAAGAAAAACATGATCATCTTTCTCTTTGTGCAGGCTCACGTACACAGATATACCATACTGTTTTTCTGATTAAGAACAGAACAATTAAAACTCCTCGAAGAACGACGTTCTCCATTTTTTCTTTTTTCCTTCAGACTATGATATCGAAAGTTCGAGTCATTAAATTAATATCACTAAACGATATATTAACCGACTGAACGTTTGGACGTTAGATGAAATATTTGAGTTGATTAAAAAAAAAAAAAAAGAAAAAAAAAGAGAAAGAAGAAGAGAGAAAGAAGAGTAAAGAATAGAGAAGAAGAGAGAGATAGAAAGAAACGACTCGGAGTATCGATAAATGACCCCCGACTGTTACGTATGTATATTACAATGTATCCACTAAAACCGGATAAAAATCACGTGTCGGGATTGCACGTTATTCGTCGATCGATTGTTCCCATTCCAATGATCCACCTCAGCCAGCGACGAAATTATTAACGATCGTTAGTACGGAAGCACTTGTTTCGAGAATTACACTATCTACTAGTCGAAATTTGGCACCAGACGACCGATGATTTTCTGCGACGCTTGAAATCCGCCATCGATCAGCATTTTGTCGTTCACGTCGAACACAGGCGAACTGATGGACACTGGAGCTTTGCACGATAGTGCCGAGTATCGAGTCGATTCGAGTGGACGAGGTTTCATTCGATCGTCGATTCGAAAGATTAAACATTCTACGAACTTGGAAATGACATTTTTTTAAAGATGTTTGCAAATTTTTCGTTGAATCCTTTAATGACGGTTTAATGAGATTGGGGATTGGAACCTAAGAAATTGTGAAATATCGAATATTCTAACTTCCTATAAGAATGAGAAGGTTTTAAAGTTATGCGGAGTTAAATGGAATGCTACAAAAGTGAAGGTTGATAAAGCAAAGATAAGAAAAATAAAAATATTCTTTGTTTAATAAATGTGTGTCTGATCACGTCTCTCTGCTTTTTCCTTTAATCATCAGATCAAATTGGATCACTTCTGTCGAGTTTCTGTGAAGTTTTAATCAGAAATTTGCATATTTGTTATAAAGACTATGGTACTTCGTTTTATCTTTCGATTTGAATAATTGTAATAACAGCTCCAACATCTTCACAAAAATAAAAGAAATTTACACAGTAATATTTAGAAGATAAACAATTAAGAATCTTTATTTTGTAATATCAATCTCCATTTCGTTTATTTTCGATACTAAAATACCAATATGCAATTTCTCATTCAGAATTCTACACAAACTCCAAGGAGTCTTCAGACCCTGTATTTTAAAACCCTCATTGCTAAAATAAAAAAGTAAAGAAAACAAACAAAAACGTGTACAGACTAACAGACATTGTCTGCAGACAGTCTGCATACATTATCCACACAGATATTGTATACAGGCTATCATATCCTGTGTCATACGTTACATCAACGTCCGCAGAACTCCAGTCTGTCCATGGACATGCACAGACACCTACCTAATAAAGGCAATATTCGCAACCCAATCCACACCTTAAAAGCAGACAAACGAATCCCAAGAAAAGATATTCCTCCATCGTACTCCTTTTCTACTCACCCGTAACTCTAAAACACCCTCTACCGATCATCTCGATAACTAAACATCGGAATCTTCAAAATAAGAATCTGAATCACTTGAAACACGTTTCAATAAATCGAAGGTTGCTCGAAGACACACCATGACTTAATTTTGTCATTCGACCACTCGATAATCGACTCGATCTCTCCATGGATCGAACCGAGTCGGTCCTAGACCCAAGATCCAGCGTCACTGTGTCGTTTGCGTTCGACTCGGTTCGAGTGCGCTGTCCGCACACGTATACATGTTGCTAATCCCGGACGATCAATGGCAACCGCAGCTCTTAACGACCATGTTTTTGTACTTCTTCAGTATAACGTTGCTTTCGTCGAGGAAATACAGCACGGAGATCGGCGAGAGCTTGGTGGGCGCGCAGCACGGCTTTGGTACCTTACCAGGGCTGACCAGGTGCACCAGCGTTTGGACGATGGCGTGATTGGTCGCGTTCATATGAGCGTTCAAAGGGAAATTGCATTCGCCGCTGCAGTAATATGCGTCGTACCCGTCCGGTGCTATGATCCAGTCCTGGGAAATAAATATTCATCGGTAAGCACGCGGCTAGCTAGAAATCCTGACGATCGTGTCGCACACGATTGCATCAAATGCATTTATTATTGCGCCTCCTGGCGTAACTTACCTGCCATTTCAGGTCCCTGAAGCTGACGTACAACGTTTGGATTTTGCAGGTCCTCGAGTTGTACTGCACGACTGGATCTGGAAAATGACAACGGATGCGTTTTATTGCTGCGTTTACCTTGTGGCTGAGGATCTTTGAGCCATTGGAGATGGCAAAGTACGCTTTGAAGGATAGGTATTTTAGTAAATATTGATATTGCAAATTATAACATAATTATATTGCACATAATGATCGATTATGATATCTTTTGTACTATTTATTCGTGTTTGATGAATAATTTTCTTGTAACATATTTTAATCTCGATGATGGGAATAATTGAATAATAAGATGACAAGGGATGTTTCAAAATTTTAATCGTTGTATAAAGTATATATTAGTTAGACCAATAAATAGTGTCAGATTTTTGTAGTAGATGGTGTCATTTCTTTCTTTTTTTATTTTTTTGAAGGATCCATATTCTTTGACTCAAACCATTTTATACTAAAAATAGGGATATTACTTTTCAGCTATCTCGATAATAATTGTTTGCTAACTGAAGAATAATAACATGTATGAAACATATCATATTTGTTTTAAATAATTGTTATCTCTGACCGTAAATAATATCTATCTTTGAACCATATTTTCTTATTTTTAATACACTATGAAAAAGTTAATGGAAAATAGCAGAAAATAATTTGTGACAATCCTCTGATCTTAACCCTCTGTGCACTCACTGTTGAACAAAATTTACAGTTACTATAAACATTTCTGCAGATAATTGCAACTTCAGATAACATCGACAGCTATGGGTATTTTTTCAGTAGACTTGGTTCTTAGTTTCAACTGCTTCCAAGTTGCTCTAGTTGTTCGCTCGTTTTTGTGCACAGTTTTGTTAGAAATTTTTGTTGCACGCTGTTTTCGTGGGAGAACGTGTTGAAAATTATGAAGCTGTTCACCAACAGTCGACGCGACTATTAAATCGTGTACATGTACAAAACATTAAACGTTTATGTTAAACGTCTAGCAGGAATCAGTTACGCTAGCTCAATTCAGAACGAGAATTATTGAAACAAAAACAACCTTAACACGATATCAAGATCAGATAGAATAGAGATTCGAATTAATCGTTCTCTCGCTTCGAAACATATCTCGTTAACGATTGTGGGTAGGATCAAATCGAACCAGTTTCATTCCTCGCAATTTTCTTGTGCGAAATTTATCAGTTAACCCTTAACATTCTAAGCTGAGATCAGTGACGTTCTTCGCTCACAGAAGTTCCCGAAGAACTCCATATTTCTATTATTGCACCAGTTTATATCGTTGTACTTTCCTTGTTACGATTTTCGCGTTGAATCTGTGAATTTTATTTACTGAAAATGTTTATTTAACTCGTAATTCCCATTACTATTATCTTCTGCTCTAACTAAATGATCAATTATTTGAACATGGAATAATTAAAATATACTTAATTACAGTGTCTTATTTATTTTTGCACACATTCATAATTTCATCGATATTCATAATCTGAATTATTAATAGAAACAACTATTTACAGTATTCTTTAAGATTTTCATATTTCTTTATAAATATTGTGCTACTTGGTTTTTTATGTTTAACAATTATCAACAGCCATCGAGAAAATTTGTACTAGCAATAAGACCTCTAAGAGATCCTATTTTTACATGCTTAGGGTTAAAAGAAATCGTATTTTAATCATTTTTTGCGATATAAATTGAGAAAATTAGTTTTAGGGGTTGACCCAGAGGGTTGAAATAGAAATAATAGATTTTACTGATTCATCGGACGTTACCTTCCGGACTTACCGGTGTACGGATTATTCCGATAATCCAGACTCGACGACTCGCTCTTCTTTTTTCTCCTAGCATCACGTTTCTGCCGAACTTTCGACTCTCTGATACCAGAACTCTTGAAGTAACCCACCATGAAGGGTTGCTTGTCTGGGTCGCCTCTGAATCCGACGATCCCAATGTCCTCTGGTCTCATTTCGTGTACTGAAAGCAGAGTAACATTCGTTTTGACAATTAAACGCAAGAACGAGTAGGACGAAATAGGTGCAATTTGCTAAATGGCCTATCATAGTATTATCATCATAGACGTGTAATCTAAAAGATATCTAAAGACCGTAGAGAATATGATAAAATCGCTGGAGACATTACATCTCGAAAATTGATCAATCGTAATGACAACAGATTAATTTAGAGATTCGTGGTTGGATCTCTTCGACAAGCACAATGAAATAAAATTATTTATTAATTAATATGCTTTGCACTACTAGTTCGGTAGCACTCTGTATATTAAAGAGACCTAACTAACAAAATATTCCTGGCGAATATCTCTCATTCTTTACTTCTCTGAAATATACAAAATTAAAACATTCCGATAATACGAAAACATTCTTGAAAACCACCATAAAATTTTGCTACACACCAGACCACATCACATATTGCTACCTACGAAATTATCCATTAGCTTCTAACATTCGCTAACGACCACGATACATCAACGCAAAGATTTCCTTGACACACACACAGACACACACACAGCTGGTATCCAAACTTCGGTTGAAACATTTCCAAACACCCGGCCGATTCGGTAACATCAGGCAGCGTTTCGATTCGGCGTTGCCCAGTTCAGCCGTTTGACTCCATAAGCGGAACGCACGCGGCAACGATTACGATTCGCGCGCGTGTTTGTTAGAATGGCCTGCCAGCTGGAATTATTAATAGGCAACCTTCAGGAATATTAACTATTTAAGAATCTCGAGTCGGCGGCGTGTCAGCTGGCTCTCTCGATCGAGGGAGCCGTTCACTTCGCCGATATAGGCGACAGTTCATGGTTTCCCAACACGTTGGCCCTGCAATTAAGTCGCCGCCACGCCGTTTGCGCGTTTAATTAATTGATCGTTCCGTCAGCCGGCATGCCGATCGATCGATTATTCTTAATTATCGTCGCGGGGCTGCGCGCTCGTGGCGGTCGGGTGGGGGTGGCGCGAGGGTGGAGTGGGGATGGAGTGGGGATAAGTTGCGGGCAGCAAACTTCAGGTTAGACGTCGCACGACGATGGTGGAAACCCGTGAAACCGTGGACGTGATCGACGGACATGCTTTCGTAATGTAATCGGAACATGGAAGAAGTTATGACACTTGTTTATCATAATTATCGGAGCCGCTTTAATTATTCATGCGGTAATAATCATACTTCGCGAAACAGTTTATAGTGTGACAAAAATAGAGCCGTTTTACATGAATTAGCATGAAGTGTCGCAAGCTGGTTCTGCATATTGGCCATATTAATGTCAAGAATATTATTTCCATGGCGCGTAAGTGACATTAGATTGGAACGGAACCGTCGTGAAAGTATGGATCGTATTTTCAGCGGGAAATTTGCACCTTGAACAGCAAATAACAGCGTACGGCATTAATTTCGGCCCGAGATGGAGCGATATAAATTTCTCTTATCGCTCAAACCCGATGGTATTAAAGGACGCTTGGGAAACCTGGTTTCGATAATGTGCACTTTCCGAGAGATATGGTTAGTTAATGTTGTATAATTAAATAATTATTCGCAAGTAACAGATGATTTTTAATGGAAATGTAAGAGACACGTGTAGCGGGCAGACTTGTACTATGTCGACTGGTCGGTTTAGAATAAATCTGATTCATATATATTCTTGACACTCTGTGGATAATTCAGAAAAAAGTATTAAGTATACCCTTGACTATTTACAAGAGTTTGTAAATTTACAATTATACTAAAATTGATATTAGAATACCGAAATACATTTTAGCAATCAAATAACATTGAAATCAAAAGTGTCGTTAATTATGAATTTAATAGTTTGTAATAAATTGAATTATAATAGATATAATAAATTATATGGAAACATATCCAATCTAGATATTCCAGTTTCGATGAAATTTACATGAGAGTACATGTCAAAAAAATATCTGACACGTATCTTTTTTATTGGCGATCGTTCGTATAGAAATAATTGGAAAGTACGCCCAAAGTTAAGCATCGAAAATATATATTTTTTGCAATATCTCGCGGACCAATAACTTTAGAGAAATTTTTTTTCTTCGAAATATCCGTTTCTCAATTGAGGACTCAACTATGTAAAAGTTTAAAGAAAAGATTATTAAAATCTCTACATAGATGATACTCGTTAATAACTCAGAAAGATATGCAAAATTTTAAATGAATAAGATAAAAAAATAATAATGATTTAAATTTTATTTAAAAAATGTAGAAGTCACTGAACGAAAAACTTAATGTTACAAAAGTCAGAGATAAGATTGTCACTTCACTATCGAATTACATCGGAGTAGTTTTCATTGAAGGGTTTACGTAGGAGGTAGCATCTGTTGATTGCACACAATGAGAACGCCGATCAAACAACAATGATTAATAACTGACGAGACAGCGGTTCGTAGACGATAAACATCAATGCGTTTTTACAAAGCAATTCATCAGACTTTTATTAGACAAGTCGCGTTACAAACGAGACGTCATTCCGGCCAATGATTTATTTAATAAGTATTGCCTGAAACAGAACGGTTGCGATCGTTGCCTATAAATAGTACGTACACGTACTCGATACCTGTGGCTCGTATTTTTCATCCTGTACTACATTCTAAATTAAGACGTTCGCGTGACAGATTGCAATCGACGTTACTTAAGAAAAATCACGGAAAACACGGTTTGCAGTTACGCAGTCGAAGCCGAAGTATTCCTGGAATTAAGATTAATGATCGATCGAAGTGTTCATAGAGATCGGGAATTATTTTTCTTGGAAAATTTTGTACGTTTTCTCTTATTGGATCGATTTTTTCTACTAAATTCGTATTTAAAAGGATCAGTTAAAAGTTGACACATTTAATGATTTATTAGTAGCTTTTGTACTATAAAGAAACATAGTGAAAGGTATCATGCATTTCCGGAAATGTCTAGGTGTAAATGAAATAAAAATAGAAGGAGATACAGATACGCAGAATAATGAGGAATAAAGATAATTAATCTATCAATAATTGTTTCAATGATCTACTCGATAATTTTCGTTACCTATAAAAATTCTAAAAATCCTAAAAATTATGCGTTTTAAGAAAAGTTTGATGCACATAAAATGAAGATAAATAAGGAAATATAAAGATATTATTTTATTGGATTAGGAAACGATAATTCGTAGTAGATCTAATTTAGAAAATTTACTAAATTTTCAAAATTAAATCAGTTTTTTCTATTATAATTGAGTTAACAGTAATTTAGATTCAATGGAAATTCGCGATTCTTGTACGGGCCTTTCCGTATCACTTGGCTCGGTTGCCCGGGATATCGCATTATCATAGTTCACATGCCTTGTACAAATTGCCTGTTTATCTTCCATTTAAATAGAAATAGTTGAATCGTAAAAAGTACCTCGCTTGACTAAAAGCCACCACGTGAGTATCGTCTTAATAGTAAAATAGTAAAGCAAAGACGTGAGAGTAAGTATTAAACAAGAAGAGAGGACTTGAATATATTTGCTGGCTCCGCCATTAATCGATTTGGTTAAGCCACGAATTACATACAACTTATAACAAGTGATCCAGGTCCATAGCAATTTTAATTAAATTTCAATCAAGTTACTTTTACGTTATAAAGATCACTGATATTTTAGGCTCTGACAGATTACAGACTACTGATCTTTAATTCTCAGATCATAGATTAATCCGTGAAATCTCAAAATCTCAGAATTATTTAAACATTTTAGACCTGTAATTTGAAAATCTAACCAATGGTATAATCAATGCAATAATTAGCCAATTTAATTAACCAATCATCCATGGATTAACCATATCGATAAATAACTGAAAGCCGATAATTGACAAGTAGTAAGTTCGATTTCTGTAAACTATTATGAGCAGTCAAAGATATTCCACAATCACCAACTGTTCTAAAATTCAATATTCTAATAATACATGGATTACTCTAATCGGACACATCCCAAGCTTAAGTAGAGTCTAAATATCTATACGTATATTACTCCCACGTTAACTTCCAACTGGAACGATGATATATCAATTACAAAACTGATCTAGTTGGTCCATTCTTGGCCCATCTGTATTCTGTACAAGACGTAATGAATATTTATACTATATAAGAAAGAATTCTATGTTCGAAACAACCATAAAGCAATGACCAAGCTGATAACGTTGAATACAGAATTTCCAATCGAAAGTTTGACACTGGAACTACTGATCGCTCGGTGCTTAAATAAAAACATCAAGAATAATACCCAATAAAAATATTAAACCATTTTCCACCGCGATGTGCTCGGCATTTGACACGAAAGACCGAAAAATGAGCCACACATGTACGTGCATCGTTCGCAGGGGGTGAAAAGTCACCTCTAGATCGGCCAAAAGGTGAAACGTTCGACGACGCCATTGATCGACCCGCGCGCCACCTCTGGCGAGCGCAATCCACGATGCACATGCGTGCCATACAAATCGGTTGCTGCAGTGGCAATAAAGCAGACGACTCTGTACATTTGAGTCGATGAAACGATGACGAGAGAAAACAAGGAGGCAGAAATGCGAAAACGGTGAAAAAAGGCGGAGAGAGGGGGACAAAGAGGGAGGAGGGGG